CGACATCTGGTGAAAATTTCATGTCATTAGCACCTCTAGTAATATATTTACTGAGAAAAATGTTGACGTGTTCAATACTTATTTTACCCACTGTGTAAATATATATATATATATATACTGTATATGCATCACCTCACCTAGAACCTGTTTGCCTTGAGTGACCRTGACGCTACTGGGAGCATGGGGCCCCTGACATCATAGCTCCTAGGATCTCTGGAACACTCAAAACTCTCTACCATGATAAGGAGGCAGCCCATTAATTTACTAAGGAGTGGTTCCCRGTTAACAATGTTTGTGTGGTTTTTACATCCATTTCAAACAGATGTCATTGACAATACAATGAGAAGAATACTGTATATATTTAAATTATATCTACTACATCAGTGGTTTCTAGAAATTGTTTATTTCTGGTTGTTCTGGTTGTTCTTCAAAATATCCCTCAGTTCAGTCTGTTTTTGTTAATTATTTTATTTTAACTGTAAGTGTTTTTGTTTGCAGGCCAGAGCATAATTACCTTCATATATGACTTTGTTAAAAAGTTTCCAGGATCCCACCCAGGTTATTCTGTAGTCACTGGACGTCCAGAAGCAGGTAGACCACCTTCTATGAAAATAATTTACCACTAACCCAAATTAGTAGCTGTTCTAGATGTTTAGTGCTACAACAACACAATCTGTGTTGAGAAAGTGTTTAGTTGTACTGAATACAATAGTGAGTAATGTGAATAAATGGTYAAAATTTGTAAAACTCACTTGTTTTTTGTAYGTTTTGTTTTTTATCACCAGGTCAGCCTGTCACACTGATGCTTTCAGTGATTGGCAGAAAAGGTCCATCTTCGGTGTCTGTTGAAGAGGTCGGCTTGGTAATTGTGTCTGGTCCTGGGAGTGTGACCAAAGGCGCCATCTCTGATGTGGGCAACGGAGACATCCTGGTCACTGTTGATGTAGTTCCTGAGGGGGAGTTTGTAGTTGTTCTGAAAGGAACAGACAAAGTGTCCAACAGTGAATTTCAAAGGCAGTCAACCACCCAGGTGTCCGTCTCCAAAGTCAATATTCAGGTTTGTCGTTTCACCTCCTCTTTATGTCCTTATATAACATTAGGGTGAATGAAGAAAAAAACATAAAAAAATAAAAATATTTAGGGACACTTATGGAAGAATGCTGAAACAGTTTGATTCATAAGAATGACATTGGTTCTTTTCTCCAGGCTGTGGTGGGCAGCAGTGTTGAGCCTGGAAAAACCTTTCTGCTCCCCTTCAGTGTGATGACCCAGGGTTCTGCTGGTACATACACCATCAGTGCCAGAAATGATAGAAACTTCCCCATGAAGTTCCCAGAAAGGCGAGATAATACTGCTGAAAAAGGCTACTTTATCGATTGCTTCTGAATAAGAAAAATATCTGGAATGA